GGCTATTTTTCAGTTGCAGCCGTCAATGTTGTTTGGCGGGCCCGGGCTGGATTCAAACCCGCCACCTTAGGTGTATATGGCTGGTTCCTTAGCCATTTGAGCCACAGGCACCAAGCCAGCAATTTCTGATATGGTTGAACTTAAGTCTACCATCTTGCTTTTTGTTTTCCATTGTCCCATCTGTACTTTATTCCTTTTTTTCCTTTCCAGATTTCCTTTGGATTATGGTTTAGGATTCCATTTTATTTCCATTAATATTTTACTAGCTATATCTCTGTTTTGTAGTAGTTGTGCTCAGGTTTACATGTATAAGAAGCATCTTCACCTTACCACAATCTACCATCAAATGATATTATAACACTTTACATATAGTGTAAAAACCTCATAACAATATAATTTCATTTCCCTCTCATGTCTTTTGCATTGTATTTGTCATAAATCTTACTACTGCTTAAGTTATAAATTCCAAGATAGTTTGTTATTTTTCCTTTAAATGATCAATTTTCTTTATATAAATACAATTTTAATTTAAGAAGAGTTTTAGGCTGGGTGTGGCCACTCATGTGTCCTAATCCCTGCACTTTGAAAGTCTGAGGTAGGAAGATTGCTCAAAGCAAGGAGTTTGAGACCAGATTAGATAACATAGGGAATGCCCACTCATGTGCCCTAATCCCTACACTTTGGGAAGCTGAGGTGGGAGGATTACTCAAAGTGAGAAGTTTGAGACCAGGCTAGATAACATAGGGAGACCTCTATCTTTACAAAAAATAAAAATTAGCTGGGCATAGTGGCATGTGCCTATAATCCCAGCTACTATGGAAGCTGAGGCAGGAGAATTGCTTGGACCCAGGAGCTGAAGGTTACAGTGGGCTACAATTGTGCCATTGCAACCCAACTTGGTAGCAAAGCAATACTATATCTAAAAGAAAAAAAGGAACAGTTTCAGGTTTACATAAAAGTCACAAAGATTGTACTGAGAGTTAACATACACCCTATACATAGTTTCCTCTGTTATTGACATCTTACGTTATTAGCACTGTACATTTATTTCAATTAATGCAGTAATATTGACATTATTTTGACTAAAGTGCATACTTTCTTCAAGTTTCCTTGGTTTTAATTTAGTGTACTTTTCTGTGCTAGGATCCCACCTAAAGCACTATATTCCTTTTTTTTTTTTTTTTTTTTGAGACAAAGCCTCAAGCT